AAGGGCAGAAATGTTCAGAATGTTGCGATCTACCTACTGTATATTACTTTAAAACTGTCAGACGACTTCTTATAGGAGTTATTGTCATTAAATGTCATATTTTATCGTTTTATTTTTTATTTTTGCCTATTATTTTGAAAACTATATTAGATATAGAGAAACTTTAATTTTGAAAAATGATCAGCAAGACAAGCTCTACAAATAAGTCAAAATGTCCGAAATCGTTTCCAATTTCAGAAAAATCAGACGGCCCATTTAGGAGTTATTGCCTTTGAAATGTCAATGTTTGAGGTTTTTGGCTATTTCCATAAATATTAAGAGTAGATAGATGAAGAGTATTGGTGCAAAAATGGTCAGCAGGACAAAACCTATCTTCCCTTGAAATCTCTGGGAAAATTTAAAGACTCTTTTAGGAGTCAATCGCCCTGAAATTGAAAATCTATTTCTCCTTGCACATTTTTTTCCAATAAGGCAACACGCCTAGATTTTCAGGTGAGCGATTCAGGCTCCTTTGAGTGAAATAAAATACAGTCTGGTCTTTATTGTGTTTTTGCAGTCTCCGTTTTATAATTGATTATTTGTTTCACTTTTGATTTGAATAAAACATATATTTTATTTCTGATTTGAGTTTTTCATTTCGAGTAAACTGGTATGTTTGTTCTAAAATTAAACAACTAAACATATTTGTTTGTTTTAATTTGAAAATTGTTTCACAAGAAGTGTTTAAATTGTTGCCGGTTGAAGAAAAACTTAATTTGCCAATTTGACAACTAGTACTTAAACACTGCCATAAGTGAAATCGTCAGTCACAAGGAAGGAATTAAGTCCGGTGCATTATCTACATGCTTTGTCAATTATATGATGTAGAGTCCATTATATTACAATGTTGACTGCTGTACCCTAATTTTTTACTTTTATACCTATTATGTTTGTTTGTTTTGCTCACACATTGTTGTCAATATAATTGAATTATATGCGACTGTCATACAAGTGAGAGGTTTTGCTAGCTATAAAACCAGGTTTAATCTACATAAGGAAATGCTTGTACAAAGTCAGGAATATGACAGTTGTTTTCTATTCGTTTGATGTGTTTGAGTGTTTGATTTGGCCATTTGATAGGGGACTTTCCGTTTTAAATTTTCCTTGGAGTTTGGTATTTTTGTTGTTTTACTTTTTATCCACAGATATATAAATTTTGTCTTTTTTATATATGAAATTAATGATACAAATACAACTTTTTAATATTGATGAGTATGCAATTGTTTATCTGTGTAATAATTTACATACTTTGTTTACTGGTACTGATAGATTTGAACATGTTATCTTCATCTTTATAAATTTATATATTATTAAGAAACCAAGGATTCAATTCCCGCAAGCAAAATTGACCTTAGATAGATTTGGCTATTACTTTTATGTACTTTTTGGTCATTAAGCTCTTCGACTATTCTTATGCATCCTTGGTTTTAAATATTCTGCTTTGATCTTTCCTGCTGAAGGTAAATCAAGGAAAGCATGAAATTTATAAATTGTTTCATACCTGCCAACTTTTCAAAATCTCCATGGGGTATTTAAGCGCAACAGGACCTAATACTCCTCTTAAATTGCCACAAGTGTTTTTAATCTACTACTATATTGATTGAATGAGTATTATGTGCCTGAATACCCTTTCAACTCATTTGAATGACTGTTTTGAGGTGTTCAGTTCATATAATACAAAATTTCAAAATTCAGGCCAACACCTCTCATGGGGATATCCTCAATCAATCGGGATAGTTGACAGGTTTGCTGTTGTTTTTATATTTTAGCAAATGATTTGTTGTTATTGTGTGTACTTTGTTTCTGAAATCATTGCTTCCTAAATTTTTTAAATCTATTTACAGTAAATAAAAACACAGTTAAAACATTTTACTAATGCATTTGTTTTTAATCCAATTTTTTTGAAATATATTTACTCAGCTTATTATATAAAAGCTTGTTTTCTGACTGTTGTTGTATGAAATTAACTCGAATGTCTAGCCGCCGATTTTTGTTATCTACAGTTTAAATACTGTGTACAATGAAATGATCTTTTATTTTGATATATTTGAAATCAATTGATTAAAAAATAAATGTGTAAGCATTGTTCATTTCAATATGAAAAAGAGACAAACGCGGAAACAATACTACCAGCTCTTCATATCTAGGATCTGCTTAACCTTATGGAGAACCTGATATCCCCCCGGTTTTATTGGGGTTCATGTACCTCATTCTTCAGTGTTCCATGTTGTATTTTGTTAAATATTGTTTATTGTTTGGTATTTTTCTGTTGTTGTCAGTACGTTGTCAGTTTATTTTCGACTTTTTAATCTGTTAAATTGACAGTGCATCATTCGAAGTGTGCAACATCAGCGTACTAATATCTGCCTTAGACTCTTTATTTGTGCAAAATAACGTTGTCAAAAACTTTACTTTTGTTTTTAAAAAGCACATTTTCCTAATACCGGATGTTGACTTGACAATTATAAAACATGGACCAGAGACGGATACGTAAAATCCGTGTACGTTAACAAAGCATGATTGAGTTTAAGTTGCTCTTTCCACGTTATTTCTTCAAGAAAATACTCGAAATGAACGTTAGATAAAAGTATCAATGATAATTTAAACATTTTTGAAGAATTGGGATGCATAATTAAATTTCCCACCTGCGCACATGCGCACTAGTTCAAACAACGTGGTTCTGAGATTTTTCATTTAAAACCTTTTTAAATTTTTCATCAAATCATATTTATAAACGTATTCTGATAATTTCAATCTTTTTGACTAAATTATTTAGATGCAGACCGCTGAAATGTAAGAAAAATAACTTTGAATAGACCGACTAAAAACGGTACAAATAAAGGCAACATTAGTATACCGCTGTTCGAAACTGATAAATCGATAGAGATAAAAATAAATCCGGGTTACAAACTAAAACTGAGGGAAACGCATCAAATATAAGAGGAGAACAACGACACAACAAAAACACAACATTAAAATGTTACACACAAAATAGTTAACCTGTCGCCTGAACAGGTAAATTTCAGCTGTCTGACAAATAATTTACTTTGATTAAAATGAGAAGGTATTAAATTTGGGTTTGTTTTGATAGTACTTATTCATCATGTCACTTTTATGACCGGAAATGTGTGGCTGATAAAAGGCAAACGGTCGCATAAACTTTTTAAATTATGTTAAAATGTATTGACCGTCTCTTACGAAAACGTTGAAAACTAAAAGTAGATGTCCGTTTCATGCGTTTCCCAGACGCACAATGTCCGGTAAATTTATAAATGTCCAAAATATATGACCATTTTGGAAGCCATGGTCTGAATGTCGCTTTGGTATCATTCGCCTCTCTTTTGTTCTCTTTTATCTTACAAACTTTTATTTGTTATTATGATGTGTTTTTTTTAAAACGCTTTTCTCACCAAAACTTCTATTTTTTGTCGTTAATAGAACTTTGTTATTGAAAAAATGATACATTTGAACTCCAAAAAGTTCTTCTTCAGCATGTGAGATATACTAAATGATTAAGTCAAAATGGTTCTTTCATTAATGATCGGACGATATTTCTATTATTTAATAGAAATAAGAAGATGTGGTATGAGTGCCAATGAGACAACTCTCCATCCAAGTTTCAATGTGTAAAGTAAACAATTATAGGGTAAAGTACGGCCTTCAACACGGAGCCTTGGCTCACACCGAACAGCAAGGTATAAAGGGCCCCAAAATGACTAGTGTAAACAAAATCAAACAGGAAAACTAACGGTCTAATCTATATAAAAAACGAGAAACGAGAAAAATTAAGAACCACTTCAACAATGCCTATTTCATATAAGAATTCCCATTACGTTGGAGAACTGCTTACAAGGAATCCATTGAAGCAAGGGTTGTTAAGGGTAGAGTTGAAGCCGTCCCTTTTAAGTTTAACTAGCGTCATCATTAATTGAATATATGTGTTACAAATGAACAAGTATATGTTCCACTCATCATAGCTACAATCCCGTCCCGCTTTTCTCGTTTACATCTAAGAAAGGCATAGAAATTTGAAGTTGAAAAATAAAAACTTTTAAGCTGATACATGTGATAACCGTAGCATTTTTGGTTAAGTTAGTCCAGATTAATATTATCAGAGACAGATGAATTTCGTTGTTTAAAAGTAAAGTATTTTACAAATATTATACAACGATTGTTCTTTGCTTTACGTTTATGAATATGAAGAAAGGAGTACATCTCAATAAGACGTCTCACTAAAATTTTAAATGCTTTGATAAAATTATATACGAGTCTAAATCAAATGTGAATGAACTCAACATAATTAGGCATAGAAAAAATACAATGACAAACAATGACGAGATTACTAATTCGAAAAGTTAATATCCTATTTTCTCAATCATAAAGAAAAAACAATTAATTAAGAAGTACACATTAAGCATATAAGTTTTAAATCTTTCATGTATCTGTACAATTAAAAAAGTAGACGTGTGCATCACATGGACGAAGAGTTGAAGGAATTACATAACTCTTTAAAACAAATTAGAGTGACAGTATGAACTTGAAAGTCGTTTTTTTTCAGCTGGGGAAATAAAAGAGGTTGAAAATAAAACGTATTCAGACCCCTACGTTATGCATTTTTGTTTCATCCGTACTGTAAAAATTTAATTTTCTCATACTGAGTTTCAATCGATTTTTTCAATTTCGGTAATATTTCAAGCAGACCTCGGTTTTTTTAACAACAAAACTTATACGATCTGTTGCTGGTTTTTTTTTTAAATTCCGGACATTTTTAATAATTCAGCTTTCGGAGGAAGTGTAAAATGACTGAAATATCCCAGAGAAAAATTGTATCGCTACTTTTTCTGGTAAAATGGTGGTTGAAAACAAGATTATTCCACATGTTGAAGGTATAAGAAGGTCAAATCACCTTATACCCAATTTGAGAGTAATTTACAAGAAACACATAAATACTGTTTTATTCGTTATTTATTTGTAAGTGATTTCTCACACAAACAAAACTGGTGTTTATCACACTCATCGTCATTCCATCGACCATGATCGCCAGTTCTTACTTCCAAACAATCTTCATTGTCATTTAAATTGTCTGGTTGGCCGGGATGCCAAAACGTTGGATCGATTATGCTATATGTCGATGCCCACCTCCAGTCAGATTCATGAACATCATCTATTCCATCCAACCAGAAGTCTCCTTACAAAATATTATGTGAAATATATTAAACACATTCGAAAATAATGCAATTACTACAATGTTATTCAGCGAAACTTATTGATGTTAAAGTGAAAATGTTAGTTGTACTAAGGTTTGTAATATTTTGCATCAAAGGACATCAATAATTAAAATGGAATAATTTGTATCTGAAAGACAATATGTAAAATTAATTCTAATAAAATTTTAGCTCTGGTTAAGAATGCCCTTCTCATTCACTTTCTGTATATTTACTAAAGTTTGCAAAAATAGGTCAAAATGACATTTTCGGGCCATCATTAGACATTTATCATTCAATTTTATTGAATCTAGGATACTGTAAATTTCAGTAAAGATTGAGATAATGAACCTGGTGTGTTAAATTCAGGGGAAACCTCTTTATAACAGTTTATATATTGCCTCAATATGCGAATGATTTGGACTATGTAGAGACTTCTTATGGTAGAATACCTAATATATGAATACACAATATATGTAATCTCACAATCGAACTCTTGTTTCCAATTTTTTTTTTACTTTGTGTCGTTGACAATCATTCGCCACGTTTCTCTTTGTTTATATGATCTATAAATTAGTTTGTAATCTAAAATCATTACCATGGTGTTAATATCAGTTAAGATGATACTGATAATTTTTGACTAAAATTGACAGTGTATGAATTATGTGATTGTACCAAAAACTATGTAAACAAATGTTGACTCTATGCATAATGAAAAACTTATCAAAAACAGTAACTTGGTCATAGCTCGATACATTTTTCGATTTCTTTGAACAAGACATGGCATATGGTACTCATCAAGTATACTAGGCTTATAATTTGGTGTGGAAAACGTACGTAAAGTCTGCATAAGACTCATCAGTGGCGCTTGAATCAAATCATCTTGAGGGCCAATCAAATACAATTTGAAAAGCTTAATCGGAATATGTATATATAAATCAGAAGTTGCCTACATTGTCATCATATTTTATGTAACAATTTCGTAGAATCGTAATTTCCGGTTATCGTATATTTTTTTTATTATTTTTCATGAAAAGATTGAAAGTGGTAGTTGATATTCTAAAATTATATTTTTGAACAATCTACAACCTTTTATATAAAAATACAGCAATTCAAATATGGAGTTTGTTTCATCAATGATAAAGAGTAAAATGAAAGCCCTATAATTTTTTTTTAAATTTAAATATAAAAGAAGTAAGATTAATTTCGTTTAGAAACATAATGTTCCGTTTTTTTTATATTTATCTTCTTTCAATTCATGATTGCATATTTCATACTTTTTAAAATTTTAACGTTGCACACGAACTATGCTTTGGTATCTCATTGGCACTCATACCACATCTTTTTATATCTATTAATTGCTTCAATATATGTTCCCTTTTCAGAATTTATTTTAACATACCAGCTGAGTGGTACTTTGAAAATTCATGAATTTCATCTTTTTCTTGTTTAGATTCCACTGTAGCAAGATGTCCTCCCACTGATCGACAGTAGTGCTGAAAGTTTTATACAGATATTTACAGGTAATATATAGAGATCTGGGGCTCTTTTCACAAAATATCTTACGACTAAAATTGATCGTAAGTTATACTGAAATGTTCATGACTTACGAGTATTTTCACTCGTAAGATTTTTTGTGAAATGAGTCGCAGGGGTATAACTTGACAAAAACCCTAAATACACCTAGTGGTCAATTTATATAGATTATAGGGTTTTCTGTATATTGATTTCGTTAAATACCAGTCGTGAACCTTTTTGGTGAGTGAACACAGCGTACAAGCTGTGTATATCTCTCTCATGCAAAGCTGTGGTTATTTGTCCGGACTTGGCTATACTTTAGGTCCTTTTTGGTTTGATGTGTACTTCAACATTTTAATTAGATTTGGATATTCAAATTTGCTTTATGCCTTATCAGATTCAGGCTATCTGGATTATATGTTTATTGTTTATTGTCTGTATGTACGTCTATTATTTTCTGAGGAGTGGGACGTTGGTGACATGTTTAGTCTGTTGTACTCTCCAATTTTTTTCGGTAATTCATGCCTTCTGACTGACTAACTTTAAACTACTTCTTTTAAACTGAGTTTTACTGTGCGTATTGCTATGTGTTTCTTTATTCTACATTGGCTAGAGGTATAGGGGGAGGGTTGAGATCTCACATAACATGTTTAACCCCGCCACATTTTTGCGCCTGTCCCAAGTCAGGAATCTCCGGCCTTTGTTAGTCTAGTATGTTTTTTTAATTTTAGTTCATTTATATGTTTTGGAGTTTAGTGTGACGTCCATTTTCACTGAACTAGCACACAATTTTAGTTAGAGGCCAGCTGAGGACCACTTCCGGGTGCGGGATTTTCTCGCTGCATTGAAGACCCATTGGTGGCCTTCGGCTTTTGTCCGCTCTTTGGTCGGGTTGTTGTCTCTTTGACATATTCCCCATTTCCATTCTCAATTTTATTTAAGAATTAGCACAGGTCAAAATTGCAATTAACTTCATTTGTTTTGTTCGATTTATAATGCCTGTTAAGACATCGCGCTTCACTATAAAATTGCATCAGTTTGAAATTATAACATATAACCTCAATTCATTCAAAACTTGACTACAGCCGGTATGTCTATACCAGCAAAATAAACCTACTGATGCTACTGTCCATGACAATTTTTCATGATGAAATAGGTAACATGAAGTATTACCTACTACCCAACCAACTGGACATTCTGAGTGTACAACATCTGAAATATAAGACCGTTAATTGAAAAAAGATAAACAATATCAAACCCTTATGACATTTTGTGGTGAAGAGTAAAATTAAAAGTTGAATTTCATAAAAAAAAGAACATTATATGCAAGTACATTCAAATATACAAAAAAATCACATACAATCACGGAAATGTAGGTCCGAGTTGACATACAATTTGGAAATTGTTGGTAATCAAGTCTCCCAATGTTATGATTGATCACCCCAGACGAGTCGTGTGTAGATGTTATATAAATAATTGTTATAATTGTGCCATCATTGACTTTTTCAACCATTGCGTTGACATGAAATGTCTTTGATGCGATTATTTTCGGTAAATAAACTATTCGTAGAATTTTTAAATCATTCGAAACGTTTTTCTGCATATATGGTCAAAGTCAGATTTGGCACAATTTTTTTTATATTTGATTGACCAAAAACTCATTAATTGTTTTTGCATCAGATTAGTGTGTTTACAAAAATGGGTCTAGCTAACTAAAATTATCAGCTGGTTCATGTATAGTGATGACTTTTTGGTTGACATGAATAGAAAACAAAAACAAAATTTGCACAATCAATGTGTATGAAGTTCCACATTTATTCATTACATAAGTCATGTACAACTCCTCAATCTAGCATTGCAGGTTATTAGGTGCATCATATACAATACTGCAGGTTAAAAAATGATGTCATTGATCAGAATGCAGAAAATCCCCTTTTCTGGTTTTAGACAATAAAAAATGCAAAAGGAGTCAAATTATTGATATAACAAAGTCATTATGTAATTTCTTATTTAAAATTCTAAATAAAAAATATGTTATGGGTGTAAAGTCGTGTCGATACTCATAAGAACAAAGTTGAAGACAAGGAAACCAAAAAAAAAAAAGTGAGACGATACCTAGGCGATAACAAAAAAAGTCAGAAAAAGACGAACAATACCATGACAAAAATAAAACAATAAGACAAAAGAGTCCACAAAACGTACACGTTGAGCAACACACACACCTACAAAAGACGGGAGGGTTAACTCAGTTGCTCCGGAATGGTAACCAGTTTCTGCTTTACTACTGAAATGTTGCTCATGCCTTATAAAAATCCGTTGAGAATTAGATATAAGAAGATGTGGTATGAGTGCCAATGAGACAACTCTCCATCCAAGTCAAAATTTATAAAAGTAAACCATTATATGTCACAGTAAGTCTCTTTGTGGTTACTACAAAGGGGACATAGTTTGGGGTCATCTGTGACACAGATATTCTATAAAGATCAACCAAATTGTGATGGCGGTCGTTAAAATCTAGGGAAATGACTTTAACTTGACCTTTAAGAACACTTTCAATACCTTATTTTTAAGCAACTGTTTCAACCCTCTGTCAATGAATTCCTGAGAGAAAACGCAAGGAAGCACAAACCTTGGAATAATTCAAATGATATTTCTAATCACAATATCCCGTACTCTTGATTTTAATCTACAAAATGTAGTATTAGAGAATTTTCAATCAAAATTATCAAGAAAATGCTTGGAGCTAAACAACCAATCCAATGTTACGTAACACCGGGAAAAGTTTTAATGATTTTAAATCATGGCTTAAAAAGATTAATGCGTTAACCTGAGATGCAGCATAGAACATATTAGCATAAAACATGGTTATGCTTATTTTTTAAAACTTGTATCACTTATACGTGATTAGTGATAATGTTGTAAACAACAGAAGGTTCTTTTGTCTGATTTTTAATTGTGTTATTTTGATCAAATTTAATTTCGCCGCATCATAACCCATGCGTTTTGATGCGACGTTAACATGAAGAACTGTCACTAAATTAATATCTAATGTTTTTTGGTAAAACCAGGTAAAAAAAATGCCCAGAGGTAATTGAAATTAAATTTACTTACAAATACACGTCAGTGCAAGAAGATATGTAAGAATCATTCTTTTAAATGTTGAGAGACGTCTGATCAAAATTGAGTGTTAACTAAATATATACCTTTAAATTATCTTTACATATTATGTAATTGAAAGATTTAATAAATGGGACGGTCGTACTATTGTGTGGTATTTAATTTTGGTGGAATAAGGAAAATCTATCTGGAAATATTATGCAATCTTCTATTTTGATTCTAATGTTCAAAATGCAAACAGATGAATTCTAAACTTAAAGATTTCTGCAGTGAAAGAAAGATGCTTTAAATTCGAGGATGATGTCAACAATTTCGATTTCCTATTAAAGCAATATGTATGCTTTACATATTATACAAGGCACCAAAAAGGGCTATAACTAACATAATTTTTATCATGATACTTTAAATCACCTGCATCAGAAGCTTGTAAATTGGTCTGAATAAATTTTCTGCATCATCAAGCTTGCTTGTTAATACTCGTCGGTACTACTCGACTTCTTTGTAGGATTCCCTTACTCATCATTATGACATAATTATACGCTAACAAATCCTTAATAAAAAGCATTATAAAATTTGATAGCTTCCTCAATTATATAATGTTTGAACTTATTATTCTTATAAAAAGGAAAAATATTAACACGTTACAACCTTTAATCACAATGGAACCAGCTATATCAAACAATGTTTGAATTGCAATCTTATAAAGGTGTTAAAGAAACTTATATTTTTTGTATTTTTCTGTTATTGGTGATTCTACGGTATGTCTTGTACAAATAGGTATAAATGAGAGTTCATTGATCGGTCTGAATTATATTGTGATTCATCGATTTGCCTAGAACATGTATGGATACAGTCACTTTTAACAACTCTAGTTATAAGTCAAAATAAAAGTTATTGTATTGTAATATTTATGTTTGTTCTTAAGGTCTTACTTCTTCCACTATTATTGTATTTGCCTAGATCATGTAAGGGTACAGTTACTTTTAAAAACTAAAGTTTATAGTCAAAACATAATAACACTAACTGTACCAAATTGTATTGCACCAGATGCATTTCGACAATTAATGTCTGATCAGTGGTGCTCGAATTCAAAATATTTAAAAATCAAAAACCTAATACAAACGTCAAATAGCTAATAACAACAAAAAGAATATAGTGTATATAATCAGACACGGAATCAGAGTTCTACATACTGGAGATATATTCTTTACTTTAAAATGTTTTTTCAAAATTTTATAACACTTACTTTCAAGCCAACGATATCGGTATTTACATGTCCAGTACAGAAGTACTGGCTACTGGTGAGTTTCTTTTCCTAAAATTAATCAATACCAAAGAAAAAAAACAAAAAAAAAAACGTATGATACTTTTTTTTATGATTTCGTAAGCTCGACACATGTTTCTGGACTAACCTCCAATCTGTCCGCTTGAGGCAATAGTTTTGGAAAGCTAAAATATTAAAAGTTTCATAGCATGAAAACGAAAAAGGTCTTAATATCTTATTTGATTTGAATAAGATTTTGAAATAATTAAAAGCTTTTGAATGGATCGGAAAGTAAAGAACGGGAATGTATATATTTTTGACAGAGTCCTTTGACATTGTAACATTACATGTCATGGCATGCATAAATAGTCCCAAAACGGCATCAAGAACTAAAATTAAAGGACTCAGATACAAGTTGGGTAGGAGCGAGAAATTAAGACTACAACTAGAAAAGGAAGGTATGTTGGACGGTATCATAAGATTTGATTATCAACATAGCATCAATAGGCCATCAATAGGACGAGAACCCAGCCATCAATAAACCCATCAAAGAGCTGTTGCGAAGGATTTTTAACTTACAGAGAAAATGACATTCTATCTACATGAGGCATCGTATCAAACATTCACAAAATGTCACAATTTTGTATCACAATGCAGGATAGGCCAACCAATTTGCATTTTTCTTTCGTATCACACCGTTCATTGTGATACGATGGATGGATGGCTGTTAAGTAGCAAATTAAATGCACATTAATGACGAGAACATGATAATGTGATATGAATATAAACCCAGCTTTGTACTATATATTTTATCGAATATGGTGTCAATGTCTGATCTTTGATTAGGGATTCCACAAAAAATAGATTGATTACCAAATCATGAGACATATGATCCAGATATTCAGGCTATCTGGACCATTCGTTGATTGTTTATTGTCTTTGTGTGTATTTCTATTATTTTCTGCGGAGTCAGACGTTGGTGATAAGTGTGGTCTGCTGTACTCTACAATATTTTGGGTAATTCCTGTTTTACAAATAACTTTAAGAAACAGTGCTGGCGCATGATCGAAATTGCAGTTTATTTGAAATAAAAAAACAAACAATATTAAATGCTTATAATATTTTGTTGCAAAGTGTAAAATTGAAAATAAATTCATTTAAAACAAAGATTATTATGTAAGTTCATTACAATATTCAAATATTCTGCAGTTGTGTTTAATCATGGAAGTTGTATACCGAATCGACACCACTTTTAGATTTTTTTGGTTTTCAAAGCTCTTCAATTCGTTATTGATTTAGTCATCCCAATGTTTTGATTTGATCATCCCAGATGAGTCGTGTGTAGAGCAACTCGTGGCTTGCATTATATAATTATAAGCATGGTACCTTCGTTGACTCTTGACTTTGATGCAGTCATTTTCTAAAAATCAACTAGAATTTTATAGTCGTTTTTTTCTTTTCCCAGGCATTGTTGGTCTCAGTCAGATCTGGCAGAATTTTTGAAAAGTTCAACTTATTGATTAATTTGGCCTTCCAACTATTTTGATTCAGTGCATTGGTACGGAAGCGTATTAGCGCCACACAACTTTTCTTTTAATATTTCTTCCTATGTATAACGCAAACCTTTGCGAAATAACGCAAACCTTTGCGTTATAACGCAAACATTTGCGATATAACGAAAACCTTTGCGTTATAACGCAAACCTTTGCGATATAAAGCAAACATTTGTTTTATCTTATTTCTTATTTAAGATTCAAAGGAAGCAACAGTTATTAATGGAGGAGGCTGCATATATTAAAATTTATCTTCTTTGTACTCATTGCAAAGTGAAATGCTTTACTATTTAACTGATAATGAGCAGGATAATAGATATAACAAGATGTGGTATGAGTGCCGATGAGAAAACTCTCCATCTAAGTCATAATTGGTAAAAGTAAACCATTATAGGTCAAAGTACGGTCTTCAACAGGGAGCATTGGCTCACACCGAACATCAAGCTATAAAGTGCCCCCAAAATGATATACATGATAATACATGTACATATATTACAATGAAAATTGAGTAAATTAAAGTTATACAGAAGAAAAAAAAAACAACCCTGCTAATATAGCTATAGCCGAATATAAATATATTTCCAAAATAAGCTCTCGTTTGAGGATTGTGTAAGGTTGGTTAACTACCCTTTTGCAATAAATGAATAAAATGAAGATGTTTTATTAATAAAATTATGTTCTCTCCATTTAAATTGCTACCAAGTTACCGCACTGGATTGAAAATTTCATGACTTTTTATCAAAGAATCTTTATCATATTCTGAGATTTTAAAAAACGATTTCTTACATCAAAATTTAAAAAAAAATTCTTTTCTTAATAATTCATTTTACAGCATAAAGATATTTTTTTCTATTTGACTTGACAGTTTTACAATTGTATGACATTATTTTTGCTCTTATCTATTTAATCAAAATTTTGAAAATGTTGACCTTTCAAATAAAATATGCCTATAACATTTCTATTTTCTTGTTAAATTATATACTTTTCGGATTCCTATGCATATTTATTATAATGAATTTGCCTTGTATTTATGGTTCTTTTCCTAACTAAATCACAACAGAAATTTAATGACAGACGGATATATATACAAAACTTAATGAATAATTGAAATCAAGATGTTTGCGTTATAACGCAAAGGTTTGCGTTATTTCGCAAAGGTTTGCGTTATTTCACAAATGTTTGCGTTATAACGCAAAGGTTTGAGTTATTTCGCAAAGGTTTGCGTTATAACGCAAAGGTTTGCGTTATAACGCAAAGGTTTGCGTTATTTCGCAAAGGTTTGCGTTATATCGCAAAGGTTTGCGTTATTTCGCAAAGGTTTGCGTTATAACGCAAAGGTTTGCGTTATTTCGCAAAGGTTTGCGTTATAACGCAAAGGTTTGCGTTATAACGCAAAGGTTTGCGTTATTTCGCAAAGGTTTGCGTTATATCGCAAAGATAGGAAGAAAATTATAAAAAAAAATTGTGTGGCGCTAATACGCTTCCGTATATTGGATGAGTCTTGTCCATACAAAACAATATCTAGCTAACAATAACTATCAGCCTGGTTTGTGTATTTTGATGACTTTTTTGTTGACATGAATAGAAAAAAATAACTTCTGCGTTACAAGTATCTGTGAAGGTCTATATTTATTCATTACATTAGTCACGTAGATCTATAGTCTAGCATTGCAGGTTACTGTGTGTATCATATACAATACTGTAGATCTAAGTTCAAAAATTATGACATGATCAGAATACAGATAATATTTTTTCTGGCTTTCAGAATTTAAGATAAGAATTGCATGATGACTTTGTAATATTGATGAATTTTCGACTTCTGCATTCATGATGATTGCCTAATCATAAATGCAAAAGTAGAAAATGCATCGGAAATATCTAATCACCGCTTCAGAGAAAATAACGTGCATATCAAATTAAAAGTTTGAATTTATTAAAAAAAATAAAACAATCATGTCAATTCTTTTATGAAAAATATTGGCAAAGTTTACAAAACGTTTTACAAAACAAGAAGACAAAATATGTAAAGAACTGAGCACTAAAATAGAAAATTGATTCATTTATAGTTTACTAGCTACCTTTAAAACCAGGTTTAATCAAACATTTTCTACATAAGAAAATGCCTGTACCAAGTCAGGAATATGACAGTTGTTTTCCATTCGTTTGATGTGTTAGAGCTTTTGATTTTGCCAATTGTTAAGGGACTTTCCGTCTTTTCCTTGGAGTTCGGTAT